ACTTACACTTGTTTCTTTCACTTAAGCTTTAGTAAAATGCCTCAGGTGGAGGTAGTATATTAAGCTTCATCAGTTTTTAAAAGTTTAAGAAATTTCTTGCAGCCTTTCCATTTGCTAAGGAAAATAACTCTACTAGAAATGTGACAAGTTAGTGCCAAATAATATATATATGGAAGGAAGTGACTGGGAGAGCATGCAAGATTCCCAGCTCTAGAGTTTGACTAGTCCTGGAGATGGCAGGCCTGGGCAGACACAGTGCTGGGGTGTGGGGCAGTGGAAAGGACACAGGAATGGTCAGCAGAAGGGTCAGGGCAATGAGAGGGCAACCAGAGCATTCTAAGTGGGAAGAGGTGAGAATGGAAAGGGGTGAGGGTTCCAGAGACAAAAGTCATGCTTCCCCTTACTGTGGTAAAGTGGTCCTAGGAATGTCCAGCATACTCTAGGGACGGAGGACACTTCAAGGTGAATGAGACCTGGATGGTCATTCTTTCACTCATTGCCCAAATATTAAATATGCCTATTTTATGCTGAGCACTGCGCTCAGTACAATGGAGGGAGAGAGAATATAGTGGAATACATGATAAAAAGTATGTGTAATACTGTGTGGGAAGAGAAAGAACAATGAATAGAATCCACATCACTTAGAAAAATCTTTATCAAATGGGTGGTGTTTGAGTTAAATCTTGAGCCCGAGCAAGTGTTTGCCAGATGACTATGTTAGGTGGTGTAGGGCTGGAATGGAGACTTAAGAGCAGAGGTAAGTAATTCAGTAAGGCTGATAAATAGAGTAGATATCAAGAAGTATGCAATCTCCAGATTCCTATGTGTGTTGATAATAGGACGGTTATTGAACTACAGACAAAAAACCCCCAGAAAAACAAAAAAACAAGACAAGGTTTCCACAGAGATTTGGGGTAAGGGCTGGATAATATTTTCTAATATTGAATAATCTCAGAAATCATTCTCAGGCTCCAGTATGTAATTATTTCTTGCTTTTTTATTTTTTTAGAATTCTATAGAAAAATTTTTTTGATTTGGACATTACTCAGTGTACTAGGCAATGGTTCTCAAAGTGTGTTTCAGGGACCAGCAGTATCAACACCACTTGGGAAATGCTAATATTTAGAAATGCAAATTTCCAGGCTCTAATCCAAAAACTACTGAATCGGATGCTTTGGGGGTCCAGCAATCTGTATGTTAACAAGCTCTTCAGATGATGCCATTGAATTTAAAGTTTGAAAACCACCATAACAGAGTGTAATAAATGGCAGACTGAATATTGGTAACATTTCTCTGTGCCAGTGTCAAATTTTTATAGGAAAAGTACAAAATTTATTTACGGTGTACCTTGGCTATACGCTGCCTCATTGCTTCAACTCCTCACACTGTATTTAGAATTATCTATGGGAAAATCCCTAAAGATCAAGTTAAGCAATGCCAGAATTTCTTTGTCTTAGACTTTAATCAATAGGTATGTAAGTATGAGCAAATCATCTAAAAAGTGGGAATAATAACTACCTTTGCAAGTTGATTGTGAAAAATATAAATAACAGATATAAAGAACCTGGGACATATAAGAAATTCTAGAGAGAACTGTTGTTGATGTTATTAGCATTATTAAATTATAATTATAATTACCTATTACTATTATACATGATAATTACACACAAGTTAGTCTAGAAAGTATGCAGATTATTGAGAGGCGTGATTTGTATTTTAAAGGAAGGTAGGCTCCCTGCTTCAAAATATCAACCCCAGCACCTGTCTCTGCAACATTTAGCTTCATGCTTCATTTTGGAAAATACATTTAGTCCATTTACATTGAAGGTAATTATTAACAGGTATGTACATATTTTACTAATTGTTTTCTTGTTGTTTTTGTAGTTCCTCTCTGCTCCTTCCGTCTTCTCTTATACTCTTGCTAATTGATGGTTTTCTTTGGTGTTATGCTTGGATTTCTTTTTTTTTTATAATTTTTTTTGTGTATCTATTCTAGGCTTTGGTGTGTGGTTACCAGAAGGTTCATAGTTTCCTAACTATATAACAGTCTGTATTAAGTTGATGGTCATTCTATTTCAAACACAATCTAAAAGAACTACTCAATAAATATTTATTGAATAACTGAGTGAATAAATAAACCCACTAAAATACAATTACCAATGGTTGGAGTGGGTGAGAGCTGTTATACAGTGGTTAGTTAAGAATTGGTCAAAGATTGATAGAAATGAGGTAGGGGATGCATCCCTTTGAAGGGTAAAGGGAGAAAGTAAAAAGCAGGAAAAGTATTTGTGAGAGGGAAGAGCCTCAAAGAAGAAAGTATCCTTCAGTGTCTCAAATGCATATTATATTTATTTCATGCTTTGCTTTAGTTTTGAGTTGGCAATGGGACTAAACTCCCAAAAAAAATCTGTTCTAAAAAATATTTTGCAATATGACTTAATATTCAGGTTGAGTGATGTTTTTACTGAAGGGGCTGCTTGCTTGACTGAATTAGCTAGTTGTTTTTGCATTACTTTAATATTTGTCAAAGCACCTAGTTCCAGATAATCCTAAACTGCTTTAATCTAATGAATGTTTATTCTGTTTTACTAATCTCCTGGAAAGAAAAATAGGAAAAATCCTTTGATAACTTATTTAGTTTCATATCCATTGTTCTTTCTTAGATGATTATGTTCAGTTTATTGGTCACAGACTACTGGACAGATCACAGTAGGTTATTATATTTTGTGGTATTAAGCCAATTTTCTAGTAATTATGATGTACAAAATTCATTTTATTGTGGCAGAAACTTAGAATACAGGAGATATTTTAAAGATAACAAAAAAGCATTCATAAAACATGTTTTTCAATTTAGTATACTTTTAAAATACCACATTTATTTATTTTTGCATTCTAAATCTATTTAAGCAAAAAGCTTTCTAAAATATCCTAAGATTTCCTTTATTGATTTGCTTGTTGCAGATGACAAAGTTTGAAAAAAATACAGGTATTTTGGAGATCGGTTTATCTGAAAATCAGATTTGCCCTTCCTACAATTTTCATGTAGGTGCCTTCGTATTGGCATTGAGAAAATGAATTATATATAGGTAGTGCTTATATCAAAAAAGGAATTTCTAGGATGGAAATGGATAGGCACTGGGGAACTCAGCTTTGTGAGGCTTTCTGTTATTTTAAACAATGTGCTTGTGTGCCCAGTAGAAGGATTGTAATGTGTGCCCGGAGCCACAGTTCTAGTCCATCAACGTCTCTGGTGAAGGGGCCAGTTGTGTTGAATTGTTCTCTCCCTTCTTGCCAAAGCTGTGCCTGCATGAGACTATGACTGTCCACAGAGAGCCTTCTGCTAACCCTCCCTGTTTATTGGATTATCAGTCCCATGTATTCATGTTAACTGGACGATTCTTAACAATAATTAAAGTGTAGGTGCTTGTCCAAAAATGGAGGATTCTGTACAACAAGAAACGACACGGCTGAAAGAACAATTCTTTGCTAAAGGAAGAGAACTTCTAACAGCAGAAATGAATGAATTCTCTGGACAGTATGCTGTGTGAGCATTCTGATTAGCTTGAACTTTCTAAGGTTACACTGTGAGATTTTATACTTTCCTAAAGAGACTGACATGTTCAAAGGCATATTTAAATTTCTGTTCTGGAAAATTACCTACAAAGCCAGTTATGAATTACACCAAAGTCTCTCATGCTTTCATAGTTGTACCACATTACCTGATTGTGCATCCACTTTAGTCATGGTTATGAATTGTTTTTGCATCTTAAAAAAAATAATTGTTTTTATAGGAAAACAATACAGTGTCCATGAAGAATACTGGAAATCTAGCTCCACAGTCCCGAGCAAACTACAAAAGGAATTTCCAAAATTATTCCTAATTAACAAGGGCCCTGCCTCAAAAGATGGCTCTTTTGACAAAGAATGGGGAAGGAAAATGTGCTAACATTTTGTCTGTTCTTCTGAGAGGCAGCCTGCCATAGTGTTTAAGTGTATGAACCTAGAAATCAGATTGGCTTGGATTGAAAGATGGTTCTCCAATTTACTAGGTATGTAACCTAAGAATTTCTGAATTCTGGTTACTTAGGACTCTAATCTACAATATAGGAATAATAATGGTAACTAACTCTGCGACTTCTGGAGACAATATGAACTATTTTTTTAAAGAACATCAAACCAATACCTGGCACAGAGTAAGCCACCAGTAAATGTAAAACATTGCTAATATGATATGCCTATATAGATTTATACACATTGCATACAATCTTAATTTTATTGTGAGATAGGTATTGTTTTCCCAGTTTTATAGCTGAGTATGCACCTGCTAATTCTCAGAGGGATTAATGAACTGGCATTACAGAGTTCAGAGAAACAGTAAACTGCTGGGCCAGGAATACAACTCAGCTACAAATGATCAGCTACTTAAAATATCTGGGACACATTTTGGTTCCCCTTCATAGTCCTTGTCAACTGGAACCAACTTAATCCCATATGAACAAAGACTAAATGAATAGGGTCTAGAAACCTGATTTTAATAAAATTTGCCAAGAATCAATCTTTAACTTCATTATGTTCATTAGTGCTATTCATGAGATATTTCTTTCCTTCTGCCTCTGGTTGCACAGTAGGATTGTATTTCCCTGCTCACTTTGAAGTTACGCTTGACTATGTGACTTGCTTTGGCTAATGCAATAGAGATGGAAGTGGCTTGGCCCACTTTCAGGAGGAGGTTTTAGGAGTCAGTGTGTGAGTCTTCATGTCCTTTTACCCCTGCCTGAATGATTATAGAAGTACATTGTCAAGATGGGGTTTCCATCACTGGACCAGTAATGGACCTGTAGCATGATGGAGAAATATTCCATGTAGTTTGTGCTAGCTTGTGCTGACTCATGCAAATATTGATCAAATCCAGAACACTGAACAGTCGGTAAGGGATTTTTAAAGCTCATTGTCAAAGTCGAGAGGTGCCAAATCATGTTTGCACTGAGCCGAATACGCACCTTCTGTGCTCTCCGTTTGTCTGCTCGTTGGTTTTGGTGGTAGATTCGACTGAAGTTAGATACAATCACTGGAACAGGTAGAGCAATGACCAAGACCCCACTCAGAGAACAGATGGAGCCAAAAATCTTCCCTGCTATGGTTTTTGGTACCATGTCACCATACCTGGGTTAAAGAAAAAAAATACATTGTTTTAAGTCACAGAAAGTTCTTTCTACCTGCTACATAAAGAGCTTTTAGCCTTAAGCCAAATGATTTTTTGGACCAGTCTATCTCTACTTCATGACTATAATATACGTGGCATAAGACCTCAATAAACCAGAAATTATGACTGAATATAAAAAGTAACCTTTCAACCTTGCAGAAATTGATTCTAACATTTAGAAATCTCTTGATTGGAAAATACTTTAAGCCAGATGATGTAATGATAGCTCTTCAATTTATCTTTTATGTACTATGCAAAGTTCTTTATGCTTGCTTTTAGTCAATGTTTTCATGCTGAATTTGATAGTCTGGGTAGCACACTTCTCCACTTCATGTTTTCAACACTGCCTTGGTTATGAAATTTAAGCAGAAAAAGTGGTACAACACATTCCTTTTATCAGATATAATCACCTAAAAAGTAAACTTTCCAAGGTCCCATTAACCTTCATTTGTGAAATCCAATGGCCATTTCTTCACGACAGTCTTCTGGAAATCTAGCACCACATTTGAATTTGTATTTGAATAGTTCTCTTTCCCCTTGAAACACTTCTATTGGCTTCAGCATTAGGAAGTTCCCTTAGTGGTCCTCCTACATCACTAGCTGCTGCTGCGTCATCTTCTTTTATGGCTCCATTTCCCTTATCTGATTTCTAAATCTTGGAGTAATTTGGGGTCTCAGACTCTTATTTTCTCCATATAAACCCTCTTACTATGTGAGTTCATCCAACAGCATAGCTTAGAACTCTATGCTGCTATGCCCTAATTTACTTGGCAAGCCTGTCTATCTTGAATATCAGACTCATATCTTAAGTGGTCTGTTCTGATGATTCCTACCCCTGGATGTTTAAGAGCTTAAGATTTAGATTAAGTCTTAAATCAGCCAAAAAGGAGCTCTTCTTTTCTAGCTTCTTCTGCCACCCTCAAATCTGTTCCTCCCGTGGCCTATCACTTCTCATTACATGGAGTGGCAAACATTGGGGTTGCTCACATCAAAATGGAAAGAGCCACCACAATATTCAGTCTCCACATCTCACTTCTCAGCTAGTCTTGTTATTTCTGACCAAACCAAATTATATCCTATTTGGGTGGTGTCTTTCCTCAAGCTCCACTTTACCACAATACACCAAGCCGTCATCATCTCTTGCCAGTCTCATGGATACAGCTTCTCACCTGAACTCTATTTTTCACGTTTACCACTTTATAAGCCATGTGCTATGACATGGCAGCCAGAATTATGGCTTTAAAATGGAGATTAGAATGTTGCTACTTTGCTTAAACCTTCACTTCAAATAGATTTGAGACTAAAATAAATCCAAAGTCCTCACTTTTGTCTCCAAGGGCCTGTATCACTTAGCTCCTACCTATGTTTCTCCCCACCTGCTACCACCCTCAATCTTCTCGGGCCGCACTGGCTCCCCAGCTTTCTGCCACATGTGCAGCCCCCAGATAATCATTATTCAGGTTAAGACCTAAATGTCTCCATCCTAGAAGTTATTTTTCTGGCTGCCTTATCTATAGCATTCTTCTTCCCCCAGTCATTCTTTACAACATTTTCCCATTTGATTACATGTGGTATTTTCTAATTTATTAATGTATTAACTTTTCCACTCCCCCACTTGCCCTGCCAACATGAGAATATGACCTTGATGAAGCAGAAGCTGCTCTATTTTGTGTCTCACTAGCACAAAGCACACTCTTCATAAGTAGCTGAATGAATGCATTGCTTCTGCCTTACTGACAGAGAGTTCTTCTGATAATATTATTGCAGAAGTCACCCAGCTGCACCTGCAGAGCTTCAACTACTCCTCCCTATTCCCTTCGGACCTTGGGGCTGCTCAGCCCTCTGAGAGGAGCTCAGGCATTGGAATCCAGACTCAAAGGGGTTTAGGAATACTTGGGGATACACTATATCTTGAAGGGTAGCCTAGGAAGTGATTGCTCTAATTAACATTGTTTTTGTGGCAACATGTTTGCGTGTCAACATGGAGATGGAAGTTTCAGAGGAACTGGCCCAGGGGAGGCTGGTGAGAGTGACAGCAGGCTATGCTGATTAGCACTGCATTTCATGACCCCATTCCAGGCTCTGAGCCTCTGCTGTGAAGGTCCCATCCTTCATTCTTGTCAGTGTTTGTGGGTGATCAGCAGTTGAGCTAATTCACTGTAACTAAAATTCCCAAGACATTTGGCATCCGAATAAGAGTGTTAATTTATAGTAAAAAATAAATAAATAACCCGAGAACTGGAATGCTGCATCCACATGAAACAGGGTCTCTTTCTGCAGTCCATCATGGAAGTTAAATCACAACTGAAGATAAAGTAAGAAAACAATCAAAACTAAAGGACTTTCCAAGGTGAGCAGAAAAGGCTGAAGGATTTCTTAGCATTGGGATATGTTAGCAGAATTGGAAGATCAACTTTTTATAAGATGCCCTGTGCACGAACCAATTTCCATGTTTGCCACAGTTCACACTAAATGCCTGTCTACATTTTATAAACAACTATTTTCCCTTTGCACTGATTATGCAGTAGACCCTAGAGAAGTCTTAAATATATATATACAAGCATTTTTTTAAAGAAGGAATTTGCTTTTAGTGTCTACCAAATAGGAACTAGAAACTTTCTCTGAAGAGAAAGTCAATAAAACAACTCTTTGATATGACCAGAGAAGACAAGCTTAGAGTCCATGTATTCAAAATAAACCTTTTAAAATAGAAACATATAAAATAAAATAGCTAAATGAATCTATCATATCATTTTTCCTGTCTCTAAAATATTTTTTAAATTGATACTTATTAACAACTATTTATATTCTATGCTCACTAAGTCATAAAGGAAACAAGGCCTACACACTTGTAATTACTAGAGAAAATTAATGGCTCAATTGTGTGGTATGAACCCACAGCTCACAGTAAGGTTTTAGGAAGACAGAAGTCACGTTAGTTGGGGTAGCAGGTGCTGGTGGTGGTAAGCATGGGGGTAAACATGCACTCAGAAAGGCCCACCTAAAAGAAAGGAGAAAACAGATTCTGAGGGATTCAGTCAAAGGGATTCTGGGCCAACTCATAAGCAGGTTCCCCCAAGAAAGCAATTATTAATAAGGTGCCAGGGTTCAACCACAGAAATAATCACTGCAAATCCTTTTTAAATGTAAACAGTTCAGAATATAAATAAATAAAGCAGAAAATGAACTTGTTACTCAGAAGGAAAAAAATGAGTGAAACAAAACGTCTTGTTCATTTTGTAACAAAGGGTAGAAAGTAAGGATAAGACCCAGCTTCACGAAAGGCAGCAAATTCACAGCCCAGAGGGATCCATTAGGGAAAAGAGATAACAGATACAATAGGGGTGGTTTCATGTCATAAAGCTATGCTACTCTGCATCAAATACAATTACGTTCATTATTTACCTCCATCGTACTTGTTTTGTAATCCAAATTTCCTTCACAATCAAGGAAGCATCATAGATGAGTCTTGAGATGACTGGCCAGTCCAGCAATGGTTACAGTGGGAAGGGGTAAGGAGAAAGAAGTGCTCACTGATGGAGCCATCTTCTCTCATCTTTTCACTCTTGGGAGGAAGGACCATCCTTTCCCATGTTACAGAAAATGAGGATGGACCTCCAGGCTCTGCTGCTGTGAGGTTGAGGCCCAGGGAGAGCTGGGAGGGTGCAGGAAGCAGACAGGCAGGGTGCTGACAAGCGCAGGCTACCCTGCGGGCATCCACGAGAGGACTGCCTAAGGCCTTGGCCGGTTCCCAAGGAGCACCTCCTGCCTCCTTCCACACACTCCTTGGTACTGTACCTACGACCCTTTCTGCTTTCTTCCTGTTCCTTCTCTTTTATAAGGTTGGACTGCTTTGGTATTTGCAATCTTTTAAGTATATTTTCCTAGTTTGAGTATGTTAGGGAAGCATGAAAAACACACAGTATAATTTGTATCTGTTCTTACATTGTCCACGCTGTGTCTCTTCTGACTTAGGAATAACCTTGAGAATGGATATGGGCAATCTTTATCTGCAAACTTTTAATTGGACACAGAATCCGCTGGGGATGAAAAATAGCTCTCTGGAAAAACCAGCTGTTTTTCTTTGTTTTACAAAAGATCTTTTAACTAGTATTCAAACTCACAGTAAGAAGCAAAATAGCATTTTATACCTCAAGAATCATCTCTTTCTGAAACTCAGTGGAGAGAAAGTTTAGAATAGAAAGCTTTATAATGAGCAGAGACACTTATCATGGCTAAATGACCATTTAAAGTTTATGTATTGCCTACAATACTGCCATCTTTTAATGATTATTTCTATCCTAGGCAAGTTGTTTATCACTTGATATATCATTATTTTTATTCCATATAAAAACATAACCTCATTTTTTCTGACTATTCTTGAATTTATGCTGTCTGCAAATATTGTATATTCTATTCTTTCTGTTTTCCTTTGCAATTTAGTATCATGTCTCCAGACTTCAAAAATCCATTTTCCAGAAAAAGTTCTGCTAAATTACATGGATATATGGTTTTAATAGAAACATTTTTTTCTACATTTTAATAAAATTGATTAAGAAATGACAAGGGGCCTCTAAGACCAAATAAGATAAACACTGAATTTTTAAAGGACAAAAGAAAACAGGAGAGAGGTTAGCATAATATAAAGAATAACTCCCAAAAAGTTTTAAATAAAATGAGCAGACTTGAACTTTGTTCATTGAAAAGGAAGCTGTCCATCCTTCTACTTTGCTCTGCTTCTTCTGACTTCCCTCTTTTTGCTACATTCAGCATGGAGAGCCACTCTGGTTTCTTTCTGCTCCTTTTTCACCCTGGACACCTGCCAAATCTTATGTTTATTGCTCCCTTTCTTTCACATCAGTTAAAAAGGTACAATATGGAGATCACATTGAGTGAAGAACCAATTCCTTAGAAGAGATTCAAATGTTGGTTCTTGAAAATTTGAATCTCAAATAACATC